CACACTAGGGATGTTCATTTCGGTTATTTTTCCTAACCGACAACCGACACTCGTTAACCGATTATTAACCATTAACCGACAAGATTATTTTAAATTAGAATTGAATTAAATTAGAAAGGATAAGTGTCTGTGAACCGATAAAAATACTAACATTTGTTTCCCGGGGATTAATTTTACATGCGCAAAAAGCAGCAAACAACAGAACATGAGGATTCACATGGTCATCATATCACATCACGCACCTGCAGCGCTTCTGCAAGCGGAGAAAAACATAAAGCTAGGCTATATATATATATATTAATAATAATATTAATATATTCATATAATAATAATAAATAGGCCTATACGAGAAATAATTTATTATTTAAGTAAAAATATAAGAAAATGAAAGAAAAACTGTGCAACAAGTAGCCTAGTATGCAGAGTTTCGGTTCATTTTTGTGCTGCGCGAAAGGAAACAGACGGCAGACACATGTACACAAATAAAAGAAAACCTTTTACAATTCTGATTATCTTTATGACTAAAAGGAGTAGTTGCTTCCACTGTTAGAAGGAAAAAATTCAAGTGATTGTGTCGGTGCTGCATGCGCGCACACGTTTAAGCTTTGCTACCTTGAGAATGCAGACCGTTCATTATCATAGTAAAATACAGTCAGTCAAACATATGAAAAAAACACACTGCTCATTTCAAATATGTAGTAAAGTCTGTGCCGTTAAGCGTTATCACCATACTGCCGTGATGTTATGCAAAACATTTTGTTTTACGTGGATATTGGAACGCCAGTGAAGTAGGCTACATGGTTTCAGTTTCGTTTTAGCCTAAATAAATTCGTTTTGGCTTGTCGTTTACATAGCTATAGCTTCTTATATTTTTAATTCTTGTTCTTTTCTAAATACTGTTAATTGAAAGGATTTGTTGTGGAGAGAGGGGAACTAAAATAGCCTAGCTATGTTTACAGTGTTTAATATAATGTTTGTAAACATTTCACGTTGGCATTAGGCCTATTTCTGAATGAAATAATAAAATGTTTTTTCTTCTTCTAAAAAACGCATTTTTTTATATTCGCGTAGCATATTTTAACCATGCAGCAAACCTTTCAACATTTTGATAAATTACTGAAAATAAATAAATGACTTTTTAAACCGTTTAACTGATTGTATTAATCGGTCAAAAATTATTACGGTCGGTTAATGGTTAGCCGGTTAAAATGAACGTCCCTATTTAACACCAATAGTATCAATAAGACCCACTACAAATGTCATTAATGTAAATGAAAACCAAATGTTTTAATTTTTGATAAAACTAGAAATGTTGCAAACCAGTTAGAGACTGGTAAAACAGAGCAAAATTTCCACAACAGTAAACTGTATTTTAGCAAACAGTATACATTTAATCTGTAATTTGGTAGATGATGGCAGTAAGAGATGGTTTCTCTTAATCCTAATCCATTTACCTTGACATTGGCATCATCCATGTTGATGACACGGTCAAGATCAGGCTGAGCAGCTGTGGCGTTGCCAATCAGTAGGTAGAAGGTGGCTCTGAGCAGAAGAGCTTCGGCTGTGTACCTGCCTCCAGACTCGATCTCCTTTGTGCACTCACTGATGATCTTATCATAATTCTCCTCCTCCATATACTGCTTAGCCTTTAGGTAGCCTGAGCTAAGGAAACAGTAGTTCAATACTGTAGTTATTTAACTGTGATTTAATCATTACACACACACACATATATATATATATATCTGCATCTTACAACAATCACCGATCGAGCTGATTGATTCTGACGTTAAGTTTGGGTTTTAGGGAGGAACGAATGCGCACCGCTGTGAAGAGAAAGTTGCGCAATACGAAACGCTGCTAGTTTTTAATAGCTTTAACTGATGTCTTCTTTTGTATAATCCTTAGAAGCCAAAATCGAAATAAAAAAATTTAATTAGCTTAATAAAACAGCCACAGGCCTAAAGTGTAAGCAGATGTTTGAATGTTTAGTTCTCTCTTCTATCATAATTAAACAGGGCTTTCCTGTTGCGCGTGCTGAAGCTCCTGCGCGTGAGCGCGATCTCGCTTCAGAATTGCGAATAGCAAAAATGCATCATAGACAAATGTTTGAAAAACAGCTGGCGACTTTGGTGAGACAGAATTTGCAAGATAATGTATATATAGCAATAATAAATGTATGCGTGTTTTATTAATTTCTCCAGTATCGATAGCAGAACCGTTAACGTCAGAGCTTATCGATACTCCGGTCTTTCATAATTTAGCCCCGGGACCGATTAAATACCGGGTGTCGGTACCATCCCTAGTTGTGACTGTACACTGCATAGTGCCTTGTGATCAGATCTTGTGAGCAGGTATTTTTTTTATATATATATATATATGGCCACGACTTCCCATAAAATACCTGCTCAGTAGTGGGAAGTCGTGGCCTAATGGTTAGAGAGTCGGACTCATAACCCAAAGGTTGTGGGTTCGAGTCTCGTACCGGCAGGGATTGTAGGTGGGGGGAGTGAATGTACAGCGCTCTCTCCCACCTTCAATACCGCGACTGAGGGGCCCTTGAGCAAGGCACCGAACCCCCAACTGCTCCCCGGGCGCCGCAGCATAAAAGGCTGCCCACTGCTCCGGGTGTGTGTTCACGGTTTGTGTGTGTTCACTGCTGTGTGTGTGCACTTTGGATGGGTAAATGCAGAGCACTAATTCCGAGTATGGGTCACCATACTTGGCCACTTCACTTCATCACTTATATATACACACATACATGTGTGTGCGTGTGTGTGTGTGTGTCTATATATATATATATATATATATATATATATATAAATAAATACATTTAACACTCTGAACACTTAGAATTTAAAATCAACAAAAGGAAACACTGTGGGTGTACAAATCTCAGTGTGAACAAAATATAATGCCCTCAGATCTCACCTTCCTGTAACCTCAGAGGCCTCACCCTCTTTGTCTTTATCCTCATCTTTCTTTTCCCCCTTCTGTAGAGGCTGTGAAATGATGTCATCAGTAAAGGAGCTGAAGTAGGACTTGATGAATTGAGGAGATGGCATGAGGGGCTCTCGGTTCTGCAAAAAGCAAACGCGAGGAAGCAAACATGAAAAAGCAAAAAAGAAAGATATGCTATAAATATATAATGTAGTTTGTTTAAGTCTTAGATTTGTAGCTTTCAGTCAAATTCTCACCTTGTATTTTTCTTTGGCCTTCTCTTTTCCCAGCTGTTTCAGCACCTTGTCTGCCAGTAGCATGCTCTGCTGGTTCTGGAAAACCTCCAGAATACATACTGCTGTCACATCTACAAAATACATTTATTTATGTTTAAACACCATATCAGCAACAATGGCTATATTCATGGTAACATTAGCAATATCATTTCAATACATCATTTACAATATTATAACATTTTCTTAAGAAACAATCATTATGCGCATTCATTTTGATTCTTTACATGTGTAATGATGTCCAGTGACTTGTTTGCATTATTTATGCATTATTTTATTTATTTGTAAGACTTTTTTATGACTAAATTTGGTAATGGGAGAGTAAAAATATTTTTAAAATGTACACCGTTCAAACTAGGCTGCTTATGTTGAAGTGTTTGGGATGTGGCTTTTAATGATGAGACCTTTTTTGTAATCAGGCTCTCAAAAAGTATATAACAATTTGGATATAGATTTATCGGCCAACATATCGGTTATCGGCTTTCAAAAATAAAGAATAATCGGTTATCGGTATCGGCCAAAATTTTCATATCGGTGCATCCCTAACAAAAACAAACAATAAACAACAACAGTACTGATAAAAATCATATACCTACAAAATAAATAATAATAATAAAGGCAGTTCATGATAACTTAATTTGGCAGCTAATATCAGTTATTGTGACAGCAGGTTGTTTAGTAACATCAGGTGCTTAAAAACAATCTAAAAATGGGATAAAGGGATTTAACACATCATACATAATTTTAAAATCTTCCATACAGTGCAAAAATTTTAGTAAATTTCAAGTCACAAAAACAAATCAAAAACCAGCAATAATGCTAACCTTCTAGGCACTCTTTCCTGTTACCCAGTTTTTCCAGTGCTTTGGCACGCCTAAATAGAGCTTTTATATAGCAAGGATTCAGTTCGACTGCCTGAGAGCAATCCTGTATCACTTCTGTCCATTTCAGCTACAACAAAAAATAAAAATAAAAAGCAATCATTCAGACATTTAACATTTTGTAGGTAATACTACAAATGATTATCTGACAGAGACAAACCTGTTGCTCGTAGGCTGCAGCTCTATTCTGGTAGAAGGTGGACAGATCTCCTTTCTGTTCTTTGGGACATAGGCTGATGGCGTCTGTGTAGCACTGGATCGCTTGATCATATTTGCCAGCCTTAAAGTATTTGTTGCCCTTATTCTTAGCAGACTGTGCTCTGTCAAGGGGACTCTGAATAGGCAAACAATTATTTTAAACAAAACTACAAATGCATGATAAATCAAATGCATGCTTTAAATATTTTAGGCTGATCTGTTCTATTGGTAGCATAATACTGCTAATCTTTTTCATTAAATCCAGAGTAGAAATTAACTTGCACACTTTTCAAATGACAGAGTAAATTCAAACACAAAGTATATCACTGCCATTTAGAAAATGTGAAAACTGTATATACTAGCTGCTACACACACACACACACTGACTCTTTTCCCCCCCCATGATGACGTTTCGGCTGAGCTTGTAAAACTTTAACAAATAGACCGAGATTAAGTGAAAATGAAACCTTAGAATCATTTCAGCTTCACCTACCAATGTACCATCCAAAAACACCTTTAACTGCATAAAAATCTAAATCTCTGCCCAAGACACCTCCCCCTGTCTAGCCCTGGCCAAATCCCCCACCCCATGTCTGTCTGTCTAATCCTCAGAGCTCACAAACAGAGAGGCAATCTTCCTATTGAGAATGGAGTCTTAATTATATCACAAATTGTACAAAATGAGCATATGCATATACATTCTCAAATTGCAAAGTATATATTGATGGAAGCATCTACGCATTTCCTGCAACTGCAACATTGTCATGCCATTGTCAACACATTTTAATAGCTCAATAACTCAAGATGTATTATACACAAACATTATTCAGATGTCCTTTTCAGAGTTTCAGCACATTCATAATCATATAAACAGGGAAGCATACTGCCAAACTGTCCTTAACTCATATGCATGATGACAAGAAAAATGAGCAATCAAAAAGTAACACCTAATATTTACTGTACAACTTACATATACTGAAAGATACAATGTACCTATTGCTTGATATATTCACTTATTATTCCGAGAATGTAAAGGATATAATTTTCAGGTCTTTAAATCTGAACCTTACTCCAAGTTCAATTAAATGTGCTGGTGGCAATGATGGCTGGAAGCTGCAAGTACATGCTTTGCGTCTTCATTTTTGTTTGACAGAGCAAGCCTATAATAGATGAAATGCAGCTGCTGTGTCACATTCATGTGTGGTATTACATGTAACAGTTACCATGCACATAAAAATCACATATGTTCCATAACTGTAACTAAAGCAATTTCCATTGGCTCAATCATGAGGCAATATTTTATATTTCTAAATGAATTGGATTTGTGTGTGTAATTAATGCAAGCATCATTAGAAGCAACCAAAGGTTCCCACACATTTTGACTAATTATTTTCCACGAGTCAGGACCTTTCCAGCCATTTGATATTACTGGATATTAATTTTGTATTTGACTGATTCACAAACTAGTTTGACCAAAAAGAATCAAGTCAATGAGTTCACAAATCAAAACACTATTTTTTACAGGTTTCCCTTGACCGGAGCCATGTGTACTGAGGGATGGACGAGTGGGGGTTCAATCTTCAACTGGCTGGCAGGAGCCGTCACTGACGGGTCACGTGACCTGCCAGAATCAGACTGCCAGCTGCCAATGGTCACTGGTGCTGCCAATTAGTTAGGGATTGAACCCCAAATGGAGTTTAAGTTGGCTTTCTTTCATAGAATTATTAAAAAGCATTGCAGTTTGTCCTGTTGTTGCTGAAATTACTTTATGAGAAAGATTCTTGTTATTGGGATAATTCACGTTTTAATAGGCATTTTTATGCTCTACATTATTGCATAACAAATGTTATTACATAACATAAATCGTAAAATCGTCACAACTAGCGGCAGTATCCATACAAATTAGAATGATTTCCTTGGAATGAGAGGCAGCAACGGCTGGCTGGTTGAGCGTCAGTAAGCAACCAGTCGTGATCACATTCATTTGACTGCTTTTATTATTTTAAAACGAAAACGTCCATCATACAAAAGAATAGAGTCATAAGAATATAGTCATAATAATAATAAATTTATTTCCTTGCAGTGAGAGTGATGGGGAACGCGTTATACTCGCAGCTCAGCAGCGGCTGGCTGGTTGAGCGTCCAGAGAAGCGTCAGTAAGTAACCAGTCGTGATCACGCTCATTTGACTGCTTTAATTGGGATAAACCCACCTAAAACGTCAATCATACAAAAGAATAGAGTCATAAGAATATAGTCATAATAATAATAAATTTATTTCCTTGCAGTGAGAGTGATGGGGAACGCGTTATACTCGCAGCTCAGCAGCGGCTGGCTGGTTGAGCGTCCAGAGAAGCGTCAGTAAGTAACCAGTCGTGATCACGCTCATTTGACTGCTTTAATTGGGATAAACCCACCTAAAACGTCAATCATACAAAAGAATAGAGTCATAAGAATATATTCATAATAATAAAATAATGTATTTCCTTGCAGCAAGAGTGATAGGGAACGCTGATTGAGCCGCGAGTGGAAGCCACAATCAGCTGGCAGTTGGGATCACTGCCATTTGGGCACTTTATTTGTAATAAGCCTCTATAAAATGTCGACAAATTAAAAGACTAGACCCATAAGAATATAATAATAATCATAAAATAATATATTTCCTTGTAGAGAGAGTGGTAGAGAACGCGTTAAACTCAGAGCGCTCTTGCGGCTGTCTTGCCTGATCCGCCAGTGAAAGTGACAATAACCAAATCAGTTGGGATCAGGTTCAGTTAAACACTTTAATCACGCTAAAATCCTCTAAAACATCAATCATGTAAAAGTAAAGAACTGAACAGGTTCACAATAAGAAATTGCACAAAACACAAAATCTGCC